CCGCCGCAAGGCGCTCGGTCCTGGGAGCGAGGAGCGCGCGCCGCCCCTGACCGCAGCAGATCTCGCGAGACTCCCGCTCCACTTCTAAGGCCTTTCTCCCTGCTCTCGCGAGAAAGAAGTCAGGACGCGTCCCCACGTTCCCGGAGCTATCCGAGGTCCTAAGTCCTGCGTGATCAGGGGCACGGCGGGGGCGTGGAGGAAGAAACTCAGGGACGAGAGCCTGGTACCAGCAGCCGGAGCTTCAGCTTCTAAGTCTGTAAACTGGGGAATAACCCCCAAGCCGGTTCCAGAGGCCTCTGGGATTTATCAGAAAGGAGGAGTGAGAAAGTTTTGTGAACAGGAGAACATGGTGACTGATGAAGGTCCTTCAGATCCACATCCAAGGGGATGGAGGACAGAAGATCAGAGATGAGACATGAAGAGAGAGAGACATATGCACACGAGACACAGAAAGGCAAGAGAAGAGCCGTGGAGATAGAGATACAGAAACTTGTAGAGAAAAAAGACATGGAAAGAGAGAAAGGGAAGAGAACATGATAAAATGAGATAAAAGATAATAGAAACAGCGCTGGCCTGTGTCCCTCAGTGGTGACCCAGCCGTGGGCAAACTACGGCCTGCGGGCCGGATCTGGCCCATTTGAAATGAATAAGACTAAAAAAAAAAAAAAAGACCGTACCCTTTTATGTAATGATGTTTACTTTGAATTTATATTAGTTCACACAAACACTCCATGCTTTTGTTCTGGCCCTCCAGTCCAGTTTAAGAACCCATTGTGGCCCTGGAGTCAAAAAGTTTGCCCACCCCTGGACTGTCGGCCACTCACTGAATGGTGGTAGATTCGATTCCTGGTCAAGGGCACGTACCTGGGTTGCAGATTCACTCGTGATGAAGGCAACCAGTGGATGTGTCTCTCTCACATGGATGTTTCTCTTCTTTTCTTCCTCCCTCCCTCCCTCCCTATCCTCCTTTCTCTCTTCCACTCTCTCTGAAAAGCAATGGAAAAAAATATCCTCAGGTGAGGATTAAATTAACCAAAAAAAAAAATTCTTTTAAAGAAATAGGGACAGGAAGGCTATACAAAGGAATAGAGAGAAGCTTAGAAAGAGAAAGAAAAAGAATGAAAGAGACTGTGATATGCAAAGATGAACACCTAAAAAGAATAAAGACCAGCTTTGGGAGTATGGCCAGTGCACCAGAAGGTCATGGGTTTGATTCCCAGTCTGGGCACATACCCAGTTTGTGGGTTCAATACGTGGTTAGATGCAGGAGGCAACTGATTGATGTTTCTCTCTCACATTGATGTTTCTCTCTCTCTTTCTCTTCCTCTCTCTCTCTAAAAATTAATAAAAACATATTTTAAAAGATAAAATAAATTAAAGAAAAATAAAAACCCAGAACTAATGATGGTTGAGAGATACCCACTTGGAGCGATGGGGCTGGGAGTAAAAGACAGGCTTTTATTGTGAGTGGTGCTTACAATGTAAACCTCCTGTGGGATTTCTTCAGTCAGGGCCATCCTCTGTCCTGCCAGCCAATGGCTTCTGCCCTCCACAGTACCGTCTGCCCACACTACCCCAGGCCTGTAAGGGAGCCTCAGTGGGTGGGAGACACTGCAGGGATTCTTTGCCCAGAATAAGGGCCCATTGTCTGGCTCCAGCCTGTTGGGAGTGGGGTGGGACCTCACTCACACAGCTGGGATAGAAAGGGGGCAGGAGTTTTTAAAAAGGCAGACAAGACCTAGTGAGGGAGAGGGAAGAGAAGGGAGGGCGCCTCAGGGGTTGGAGAAGGTTGAGAGGCAAGTATAATCTAGCCACCAAGTCAATCAGGGGGAAGAGTCACGGGCTATGGGCAGGACAATAGGGTTCTGCTATTGATCCTGTCCTTGGTTCACCTGCATGGTCACTGCTCGCTATCCTTGTTGTAATACAAGCTTTAGCCTGTTTACAGAGCTGTAGGGAGGACCCAATGAGATGATGATTGAGAACCTAAGAGGTTATCAAGCATGGTTTTTACAGGAGAGATGTTTGGAGTCCAAGTGGGCCTCAAGAAAGAAAAGTTCACCTGAACCTTCAGAAGAGGAGCCTGAGGACTATAGTGAAGGCTTCTCAACTGTGGTGTCACAGAGGCTCACATGCCATCCACCAAAGCATGTCTTATGACTAATGCATGGGTAATAGAAATGTCTTGGATCCACATAGAATTTACCGGAGATATCTTTCAGTTCATGCAGATTCTACAGTAAATGTTTGTGTTCCCATCTGATGACCACAGATGACTTTTCTTCAATCAGGAGAGTCAGAAGGGCCACCTATTTGGTTAACAACAGAGGCAGTAAAAGTGCCCAAGTCCAAAGTTAGAAGTCCATCTTTTTTCCAGGGTATTGCACCTTCAGAATTTGGGTAAATGGAAGGGAACAATACTTTAATAATGATAATTATTTAAACAAACTTTTATTCAACAGGCATTTTCTGATCACCTACTATGAGAAACAACATAGTGCAGTTGTTAAGAACATGGACCTAGAAGGCAGACTGCCTGGCCCTTCCCAGCTATGTGAGGTACTCATCCTTATTGAATCTTAGATTTTCCACATATGTAAAATAAGGATGATGATAGTAGTACCTCTGTCTGAGAGATCCTGTCAGGATGAAATGAATTAACACATGTAGAGATGTATAACCCATAGGACAATGCCTGGACCATAATAAGTACTAGTTCAGAGATTCCAAGATGGCAGCAGACTAAGTGAAAGCTACACTGACGTTCTCCCAGGACCAAACTGGAATTACAACTAAAATATAGGGGGGGAAATCCTGAATAAGCAACTGAAGAATAACTGGAGAGAACCCTTATAACCGAAAACATAAAGTGGAGACTTCATAGAGACTGGTAGGAAGTGCAGAGGCAAGAGAAGGCTGGCTGGGCTCCCATGGGCAGCAGCAGAAGTTCTGGAGGGATATCTCAGCTGTGCGGGGAGGGGTCCCCTTGAGAATTCTTGGGTCTAAACCACAACCTGGACTCCCAGGCCCAGAGAACCAGAACTGAGAAGGTACCCACATAACATCTGGCTATGAAAAGCAGCAGAGTTGCTGTCTGCCAGGGAGAGACAGCTGGAAATGCAGGCATCCTCTTTAAAGGGCCAATGCACAAAATCTCATGTGCAGCCTCTCACCTTGGGCTCCAACAGAGGGAGGGCAGAAAGGACTAGAGCTGTATGAGGAGAATCTGGGGTTAGTGGCTCTAGGAGTAGAGTTCAGAGGGCAGCAGCCTGGATCCTTGTTCTGAATCATTCCCCCATATTGCAGAGGACACCTTTCTCAGGCAGACATTTACCATCTAGGCAGCTTTTGCCTGGCAGTAGGAGAAGCAATTGCCCCACCCACTGGTAAACCTCTGGCCCCATCCTGTGGAGTTTATACTTAGCTGTGGTCTATAACCTGAGGCTTATTGAGTGACTGAAAATAACAATCAGCTTGCAGGCAGACATGGATCTCTGGGTACTTTGAGTCTTTGCCTGATCTACTTCTGGACTCCAGGCTAAGAAAAGCAGACCTTGGTGCACATCTGGATCCTTTCCAAATGCACCTAGCCCCACCAGAGGGAGTCACAAGCTGCAGATCACTAATAGCTCCAAGCAGAGTACTCAGAGCCAGTCACAAACAGCATCTGACATTGGCCTACACCCTCCAAAAAGACTGGAAGTCATAGCAGATCTACCTAAGACATGAAATAAATCCAAACAGGCAGTAAAAATGGGGAGACAAAAAAAATCTCTAAATGAAAGAGAAAGAGAATTCTCCAGAAGAGCTAAATGAAATGGAGCTAAGTAGTTTATCAGATATAGACTTCAGAGTAATCATATCAATAGTAATGAAGAATGACATACCAGAGATAAAGAATACACTGGCAGGAGTAAAGATCAGAGTAGAGGAAGTCAAGGATGGGATCAGCGAATTAGAAGACAGGGTAGAAAAAAAATCACTCATTCATCCCAGCCTGGTTTGGGTCAGTGGTTAGAACATCACCCTGGAGACTGAAGGGTTGCAGGTTTGATTTCCAGTCCAGGGCACATACCTCAGTTGCAGGTTCTCCAGCCCCAATAAGAGTGCATGCAGGAGGCAACCAATGGATGTGTCTCTTTCACATTGATGTTTCTCTCTCTACCTCCTCTTCCTCCCTATTACTTTGTCTAGATATCAATGGAAAAAATATCATCAGGTGAGGATTTAAGAAAAAATCATTCAATTACAAAACCAAAGAGAAAAAAACAATTAAAAAACAGGAGGACAGCTTAAGGGAGCTGTGGGACAACATTAACTGCAATAAAATCTGCATTATAAGAATACTAGAAGGAGAAGAAAGTGAGCAAAGGATAGAGAACATGCTTGAAGAAATAATGGCAAAAAAACTTCCCTAACCTGGTGAAGGAGAAAGTTACACAAGTTCAGGAGGCACAGAGAGTCCCCAGAAAGAGGAGCCCAAATAGGTCCACGCCCAGACACATCTTAATTAAAATGCCAAAAATTAAAGACAAAGAGAGAATCTTAAAGGTAGCAAGAGAAAAGCAATTTGTTACCAACAAAGGAGCTCCCACAAGGCTGTCAGCTGATTTCTCATCGAAAACTCTACAGTCCAGCCGAAACCGGTTTGGCTCAGTGGATAGAGCATCGGCCTGCGGACTGAAAGGTCCCAGGTTCGATTCTGGTCAAGGGCATGTACCTGGGTTGCAGGCACATCCTCAGTAGGAGATGTGCAGGAGGCAGCTGATCGATGTTTCTCTCTCATTGATGTTTCTAACTCTCTATCTCTCTCCCTTCCTCTCTGTAAAAAATCAATAAAATATATTTTAAAAAAAAAGAAAGAAAGAAAAAAAAAGAAAACTCTACAGTCCAGAAAGAAATGGCATGAAGTAGTCAAGATAATGAAAGGCAAGGATCTAAAACCAAGATTACTATATTCATCAAGGCTATCATTTCAAAGAGATGGTG